GAGGAGGTGCGGCCTGTCGTGCGAGATCATGTTGCGCATGCTGTTGCAGGGCCACCCGCTCCTCAGACCAGTGCTATGTATGGAGCTTTGGTCACCACTTTGGAGCGCGCTGTCTCTCATCATCACGGGGTCCGTCTTGAAGGAGGCACGCCTCGGGCTTCAAGGCCGCTTTACCGTGCCGCGGAAATGAATGCCACGGAAAAAGTTCGGGACCAACCGTTTCCTGATCGCGTGGCTACGTGGTGGGGGCGTCTCTCCATTGTTTCGTTTACACTCAGCAAGCACCGAGGGCGAGGCAATGGTCGACTCCAGACAGTCAAACTGTACGAGGCTGCGCGAGCTCTAGCAGATGACCAGCCAGCCGGGGCCCACGCACCGCTGGCTGGCACCCAGGGGAAGGAGGAGGAGGGCATGGGAGCAGCTTGGAGCGACTGGCAGACCAGACTTTTGCGCGTCGGGCAGTTGCCAATCGATTGCGTTCACAAGATGGCCAGTGTTGCTAAGCGTGCTGCTGCTCGTGCCCAACGCCGGGCGGTAGGTGGACCTCTCAAGGACTTTCGCGAGTGGGTCGCCACCCCCGAAGCCTCTGGAGTTCTCCACACACCTATGAAGCAAAATTCCTCCCGTCCCCGATGAGTTACGCACTGGGGGCCGCGTTCTGGTTCATCCTCGGGACATTGTCGACCAGGAAGCGCTCAAGTGGCAGGCTCTCTGGAGCCCCATTCAGGTTGAGGTTTCGGAGGTGGTCGACATGCACGCCGAGATTCGCGCTGCTGCAGCAGCGGGGCAGCTTGAGCCTTTGCAGTCAGATCGAGTTTTGGAGACCCTGCACGCCATGAAGGCCCGAGCAGGACGCGGGGTCGACGACCTCACACCCTTAGATGTGGAACGTCGTCCCCCCGAAAGGGCTCCTCGAACTCGCCGACATCTTTCAGGCCTGCGAGGGTTGCATTACGCGGCCTCGGAAGGTTCTGGTGGTTCTTGGGAGGCTCCTTGGGAAGGAGGATGGGGAGGGGATAGAGTTATAGGTCTCATGTCTATGGTTTCTAGGACCTGGTCTCTTGCCCGTGACAATGTTACTCGTGCCTGGTCTCAGGGCTCCCAGCCCGACTGGGGCGCGGCCGCGGCGGGGGACTCCGCTCTCCGCGAAGCCTTTCTTCGGGCTCTGCGAGATGAAGGACTAGCACGCATGGGGATCTCCTTTGGCGCGGGCTTCTTGGACATTAAAAGTTTTTGCGACGCCATGCAGTGGGAGCCCCTGGTCCGTTCGGCCTTGAGGCCGGGGCTCGCTCCTGTGATCGTGGGGCTCGAGCTTATGATGTGTCTGGCGCCTCGGATTTTATCTCAGATGAGATCGTGCTCTCTTTGGTTTCAGGCGTCCCAGAGCATCGTCCAGGGCCTCAGAAGTGGTGCCCGTTGCGGGCGATGCTTGGTCTTGTTCATCTTGCGGCAGCTCACCACAGCCCATCCGTGCATGTCCATGCGGGTCTGGGTCGATGGCCTCGCAGCGCGCACTGCCGGCCCTCGCCCATCGTTCGAGGGCGACTGTATCAAGGTTTGCTCGACGCGTGCTTGACCTTGCAGAAGCACGGGCTCCCCGTGGCCAGCAAGGGCGTCGTTCTCACCCCCCGCCCCTCCGATGCTAAGTACGTCGTTCGTCAGCTTCGCAGGTAAGGGTGTCTCGTTCGGCATGCTCTTCAAACCAGTTTCCTCGGGGTCGACCTCGGAGCTGGAAGGATGGCCAGGGAGGTTCGCAACGCAAAGGTTGTCATAGACAAGACGATGAGCAAGCATATCCATGGATTTGCAGTCCCACGACACGAGGACGGAGTGGATGCGATCGGATTGTTTCGACTTGGAGCCTGTGGATTCACATATCCCTGGTCTGCCGGAGGGGTTTACGGTTCATCTGGGGGGGGGCTGGATCCACCCCACCCATTCGGCTCTCCACTCCCACATCCTGCAAACGTGGATATGCTCCGATTGTGGCTTTTTCGGAGCCGAGCAGTTCAGGAAGAAACCTTGCCTCGGAGTTTCTCAAGAAGCTCACAGCCACCACTCGGAGGTATCTGGATAATTCTGTCGCAGGGAAGCCGCTTAAGTCCTAAGCGGCAGGAGCCAGGCGTTCCTTGCTCACCTCTTTTTTCTTTGATCGCTATGCGAAGGAGCCACTCCAATCCAATCCTCCTCCTCCTCCTTCTCCTCCTCCTCCTCATCCTCCTCATCCGTCTATTCCTCCGCCTCCCTCCTCCCTCTTCCCCTTCATCCTCTTCCTCATCCTTATCCTCCTCGTGCTCCTCGTCGTCCTCCTCATCATCCTCCTCCTCACCTTCCTCATCATCCTCCGATTCCTCCTCCATACTCTGCAGGGTCCCCCACTTCCCTTATCAAAGCAATGTGTCTGGGCACCGCTGCTGGATGGCACGGTGGGGTTACGCGAAACGTGGAGAATTGTAAAATATTGGGTACGTCGTTGGTGACGGAATGATTTGGAGAGACGGACCTTGTTCGAATTACACTTGGGGAGAACACCGTGAATTAGTGGGTGTGGTGTTTGGGACGGGGGCTGTGGAAGATTGGGTGTGGAGTTGTGAGCGGAAGGAGTTGAGTAGAAGGATCTGCGCAAATTGCGTTTGGGGAGGAGACTCTGAGTAGTGGATGTGAGCTCAGATATGGAAGTGGAGTAGTGGGTGTGGCGTCGAAGAAGCCTGGGGCTGAGCAGGAAGACCTTGTTCAAGTTACAAGTTCGGAGGAAGATGTGGAATAGTGGGTGTAGTATTTGAGGCGGAGACTGTGGAGTACTGGGTCTGACGTTGAAGAAACGCATGGGAGGAGACTGCGGGGTACAGTGGAAGCCCGACCACGGGAAACCTTCTACAAGACAACCCAGGCCGTCCATGGATTTGTAGTGTGGGAACGTCACGCTTTCAATCGCAAAGCTGTCGAAACCCAAGAAGCCCAGGGCACCCTGGAGGCAAACAGCATGTTTCTTGGCATGGACCTCCACTGTAGTTTGTGTGGCGGGTGGGTGCGGAAGATGTGGAATACTGGGTGTGGTGCTGGGGAAGTACGAGGATCAGTTTACTTTGCGCGTTGAAAAGACACTGGAGCAGTAGAGCGGTACTCGGCCACGCCCCTCGCCTCCCAGGCCATAGCCCCAGGGAGATGAAGCGGATGCGCATGCAAGGGGCGAACACCGGTGTAAAGATGTGTCAAAAAGCGACTGCTTCAAGAAAGAGTGCGAAACTCGTAGGAGACATGTGCATTTGCATGTAAGACGTGTGCCAGGGGGGTCAGAGTGCGTGCGCAAGGCTACGTATGTATTTCTAGACACAAATAGATATACACACATCCGAGCGAAGGGGGCCGAACGTTCATTCACTGTCCCTGGGCGAGTGGCTGAAGTGGAATTCCGCGATGCGGATTCTTGCTTGTGTTGTTCGTTTGTTGCTGTTGATTTGTTTGATGTTCTTGTTCGGCGTCGTCCCCCCGGCGACTCGGCCCGCGACCCACCAACAACCCCCCTGCAACCCGCCCGCTACCCACCCCGCAATCCACCCGCCACCCACCCCGCAACCCACCCGCGACCCACCCACAACCCACCAGCGACCCACCCCGCGACCCACACAAATTGCTTCAGTGAAACATCGGCGCCTGCGGGGGGCTTCTTGTACAATCTGCCAGAATGCGGGGACCGAACGGTCATTCACTGTCCCTGGGTGCGTGGCTGAAATGGGATTCCGCGATGCGGATTCTTGCTTGTGTTGTTCGTTTGTTCTTGTTCAGAATCGACCCCCCGCGACCCGGCCAACGACCCACCCGCGACCCACACGTGACCCACCCGCGGCCCGTCCGCGGCCCGTCCGCGACCCACCCGCGCCCCGCCCCGCGACCCACCCGCGACCAACCCGCGACCCACCCCCCGACCCGCTCGCAACCACCCCGCGACTCACTCGTGACCCACCCGCGACCCACCCCGTGACCCACCCACATTGCTTTAACGCAAATTCGGCGTCTGCGGCGGGCTTCCTGTATAATTTGTAAAAAAATAAGCGGTTGTGGAGGGCATCTTCGGAGCCTTGCGGACTGTAGACGACCCCGCCGCCCCCTCACTCTTATACGCGACTTCGGAGTGATATGTGTATATTACCCCAGTGCGACCCTACCTAGAAGTTGGAGCCCCTAGGAAAGCAACATTAGTTGCTATGCTATGCTACGCTATGCTATACCATGATATACAGACCTATATAATACTATGCTATGATATGAAATGCTATGATATGGGTCGCTATGTTTTGATATGCGATGCGATATGATATGATAAGATATGCTATGTAATGCTGCGATGTGCTATGCTAAACTATTATATGCTATGATATGTCATGCTAAGCTGCGCTATGATATGATATGATATGCTATGCTGCGCTATGCTATGCTGGGCTATGTTGTGATACGATATGCTGCGCTATGTTATGCTACGCTGTGCTATGCTATGATGTGCTCTGCTATGCTAAAGCTCAGCAAAGCTAAGATGGAGGTAAGCTAAGCTAATATACACCCGAGCTAAGATGAAGCTAAGCTAACCTAAGATGAAATAAACTAAGCTAAGACGAGATACGCAACGCTAAGCTAAGGGGACGTAACTCGGGGAACCGCGGGGCGGATACGGGGGGAACCGCCCTTGGCGAGCCCCACTGCCCGGCCCCTTTAAGAAAGAGAGTAAGAACCCTCTAGGCAGAGCCTAGGTAGGGAATACGCATATATATATATAGGTATAGTATAAATAGATCTGTATATAGGTATGTTAGCTATTCTACCAGGTACGGCCGATGGAACAAAAACCATCCAACTCCTGGTCCCCTCCAGTCCCCTCCACTCCCTCCTCCTCCCCCCTCCGTCCTCCTCCGCATGAGCGCGAAAGAACTGCGCTGCATAACGGCCCGTCCTTGTATTCGTCGTTCTCCTCCTTCCGCGTCTCCGTGGCCTCGGTAACAGACTTGTCAAGCTCCGCGATGCCCTTCGCAATTGCAGGATATGGCACGGCCCATGCATGCGAGACGCTTCACATGATCGCCCCCGCCATGGTGGGGAGGGAAAGGATATCTTCAGGTCGGGCATGTCCCCTACAGGAGGATTCTGGAGGAGCCGAAAAATACCCCCCAGAAACCCAAATGGCTGAAAAAGATTCAAAACATCGTCCCCAGACTATGTTTTAAGGATGCTGGAATATTCCCCCTGTAGGGGGACAGGCCCGACTCGGGGATAACTCCGCTGAGCTGACGTGGGAGTTGAACAAAAAAAGCCTGCGCTCCAGCTTAGCGCTGCTGGGGGGGGCTGCCCGTGGCTCTGCCGGGGAGGGGGGGGAAGGGGCGTGGGGGGGGCGCGCAGCCGAGTACCACAGTTCCCCCCCTGGCCCCTAGGGTTAGGTCGGGCATGCCCCCCTACAGGCAGATGTTCAACGAGACATAAACCATATTCAAAAACATAAAAGCATCGTCCCCAGACTCTTGTTGACGATGTTCCTCATATCCTAAGATGGGGTTATTGTTATTACTTGGACGCCTCCTACTCCTTCTTCTCCCTCTTCTCCTTCTCCTCCTCCTCCGCATACCCAGACTTGCTCACACTCAGATGTACTCATACCCGAACTTACTCAGACACAAACTTACTCATACTCAGACCTACTCCTACTCAGAGTGCCTCATGCTGAGACTCACTCATGCCCAGACTAAATCATACTCAAACTTGTTCCCAGACTTACTCATACTCAGACCTGCTCGTACTCAGACCTTTTCATTGTCTGATTTATTCCACACACACACACAGAGCAGATTGCGAGGATGCCTTAGGGGCGCTGGCTTCAGCCCCCCTAAGGGGATCCGCCAGGGGTGTTTTCACGGTCCCGTTCGCAACAATTGTGTGGAGTTGCCTCAGGCGGTCTGCTTGTTTTCTGTCCCAACATCCTTGGCTATCCGAGCAGATTGTGAGGATGTCTCAGGCGGGGCGCTGGTTTCAGCATCCCTAAAGGGGGCCACCAGGGGTGTGTTCACGTCCCGTTCGCAACAAGTGTGTGGGGATGTCTCAAGCGGTTTGCCTGCTTCCTGTCCCAACATCCTTGGCTCTCCGAGCAGAGAGTGAGGATGTCTCAGGCGGGGCGCTGGTTTCATCATCTCTACAAGGAGCCGCCAGGGGTGTTTTCACGGTCCCGTTCGCAGCAGTTTTGTGGGGATGTCTCAAGCGGTTTTCCTGCTTCCTGTCCCAACATCCTTCGCTGTCGGAGCAGATTTGGAGGATGCATCGAGCGAGGCGCTCATTTTCACCCCCCATGTGGGCCAGATTTTGAGGATGTCTCGATCGGTTTGTATGTTTTGGTGGCCAGGCTCGTGGGCGCAGATTCTTCTCAGGATGCCACAGGAGGCTCAACACAGGCTCCAGGAGGCCCCAGGAGACCACATGTGGTCCCAGGAGGCATCAGGAGGCCACAGAAAACCAGGAGGCCCCAGGAAGCTCCAAAAGGCCTCAGGAAGCCACAGGAGGCCCCAGGAGGCCACAGGAAGCGCCAAGAGGCATCGGAAGGCAACAGGAGGCCCCGAGAGGCCCTAGGAGCAGGAGGCATCGTTTTACTCATGTTACTATGTATTGGGCCTCTCCTGGGGCACGAGTCCTTGGTGTTTTACGTGCGTTCCTATAGATTACGCTTCTCCTGTGGCTCTAATCCGCAATGTTTTCTGTACGTCTGTTGCTATAGATTGGGCCTCTCCTGGGGCACGAAACCTCCCTAGGGGGTCACAGGAGGTCCCAAGAGGCTCCTGGAGGCCCCAGAAGCCCCAGTAGGTTTCAGGAGGCCCCAGGAGGCCCCAGGCTCATGCGCAGAGACGCGCTCGTACTACTGAGGCTCATTCACACTCCAATTCATTCGCAATTAGATTCATGTCCAGACCGTCACAACTGAAGCCCGTTTATATTCGAAAGCTCTTGCGCCTAGACATTCACGGCGGAGAGGTCCATGCGAATAGATGCACATATGGGGGGTTCCACGCAGTGAGTAATTTCTTGGACGCAGCCGACTTCTCCTCCTTCTCCTTCTCCTACCCTCTCCTCCTCATGCGCAGACCTACTCATACACAGACTGACTCACACTCGGACTTACTCATACCCAGACTTACTCACACACAAAACTAATCATGCTCAGACCTACTCATACTCAGACCTACTCCTACTCAGACTAACTCTTGCTGAGACTCAAGCACGCCCCGTTCGCGGCCGTTGTGTGGGGATGTCTCAAGGAGTTTGCTTGTTCCCCATCTCCTAAGAATGGGGTTCTTGTTCCCCATATCCAAAGATGGGGTTCTTGTTATTGGCGGACCGCGCCGGAAGGACACAGAACAGGACAGAACACCACACCCATCACTCAGACACACACGTAATTTTTTCCCCATATCCTAAGATGGGGTTCTTGATTCCCCATATCCAAAGATGGGGTTTTTCCCCATATCCAAAGATGGGGTTCTTGTTATTGGCGGACCGCGCCGGAAGGACACAGAACAGGACAGAACACCACACCCATCACTCAGACACACTCATCAAGACTCACTCATCACTCAGACTCAGTCCTCACTCAGACACACCACTCATCACTCAGACTCACCACTCAGATTCACTCATCACTCAGACTCACTCATGCTCTCTCATCACTCAGACTCAGTCATCACTCAGACTCAGGCGATTCGCTCGTCTCAGCAATCTAAGGGGGGCGGCGGGGGGGTATTTCACGGGGTCCCGTTCGCGGAATTTTGTGGGGATGTCTCAGGCGGTTTGGCCATTTTCTGATCCAACATGTTTCGTTTTCGGAGCAGATTTGGAGGATGTCTCAGGCGATTCGCTCGTCTCAGCACTCTAAGGGGGGCGGCGGGGGGGTATTTCACGGGGTCCCGTTCGCGGAATTTTGTGGGGATGTCTCAGGCGGTTTGCCTTTTTCTGTCCAACATCCTTCGCTTTCGGAGCAGATTTGGAGGATGTCTCGAGCGAGGCGCTCATTTTCACCCCCCAGGTGGGCCAGATTTTGAGGATGTCTCGATCGGTTTGCTTGTTTTGGTGGCCAGGCTCGTGGGCGCAGATTCTTCTCAGGATGCCACAGGAGGCTCCAACAGGCTCCAGGAGGCCCCAGGAGACCACATGAGGTCCCAGGAGGCATCAGGAGGCCACAGAAAGACTCAAGATGCCACAGGATGTCCCAAGAGGCTCCAGGAGGCCCCAGGAAGCTCCAGAAGGCCTCAGGAAACCACAGGAGGCCCCAGGAGGCAACAGGAAGCGCCAGGAGGCCTCGGAAGGCAACAGGAGGCCCCGAGAGGCCCCAGGAGCAGGAGGCCTCAGAAGGCAACAGGAGTGGCTCCAATCCCATGTGTTTTACGTATGCTCCTATCGATTGGGCCTCACCTGGAGCACGATTCTTTGATGTTCTACGTATGTTTCTATAGATGGTCCTTCTCCTGTGTACACAATCCTAAATGTTTTACTCATGTTACTATGTATTGGGCCTCTCCTGGGGCACGAATCCTTGGTGTTTTACGCGTGTTCCTATATATTGCCCTTCTCCTGTGGCTCTAATCCGCAATGTTTTATGTACGTCTGTTGCTATAGATTGCGCCTCTCCTGGGGCACGAAACCTTCCTAGGAGGTCCCAGGAGGTCCCAAGAGGCTCCTGGAGACCCCAGGAAGCCCCAGTAGGTTTCAGGAGGCCCCAGGAGGCCCCAGGCTCATGCACAGAGACGCGCTCGTACTACTGAGGCTCATTCACACTCCAATTCATTCGCAGTTAGATTGATGTCCAGACCGTCACAACTGAAGCCCGTTAATATTCGAAAGCTCTTGCGCCTAGACATTCACGGCGGACAGGTCCATGCGAGTAGATGCACATATGGGGAGCTCCACGCAGTGAATAATTGATTCCCCACTCACTCATCACTCAGACTCACTCATCAAGACTCACTCATCACGCAGACTCAGTCCTCACTCAGACACACCACTCATCACTCAGACTCACCACTCAGATTCACTCATCACTCAGACTCACTCATGCTCTCTCATCACTCAGACTCAGTCATCACTCAGACTCAGGCGATTCGCTCGTCTCAGCAATCTAAGGGGGGCGGCGGGGGGGTATTTCACGGGGTCCCGTTCGCGGAATTTTGTGGGGATGTCTCAGGCGGTTTGGCCATTTTCTGATCCAACATGTTTCGTTTTCGGAGCAGATTTGGAGGATGTCTCAGGCGATTCGCTCGTCTCAGCACTCTAAGGGGGGCGGCGGGGGGGTATTTCACGGGGTCCCGTTCGCGGAATTTTGTGGGGATGTCTCAGGCGGTTTGGTCATTTTCTCTTCCAACACGTTTCGTTTTCGGAGCAGATTTGGAGGAAGAGGAGGAGGAGTCAGGAGCAAGAGGAGGAGGAGGAGGAAGAGGAGGAGGAGGAGGAAGAGGAGGAGGATGATGATGATGATGCTGATGATGATGAGGGGGAGGAGGAAGAGGAGGAGGAGACTGGGGAGGAGGAGGAGGAGGACGAGGCAGGGGAGGAGTAGGAGTAGGAGTAGGCGGAGGAGGAGGACGATGATGAGGAGAAGGAGGCGAGCATGAGCACGAGTAGGAGCAGTAGAATGGGATGATGATGATGATGATGATGATGATGCTGGTGATGATGATGATGGCGATGATGATGATGATGATGATGATGATGGTGGTGGTGGTGATGATGATGATGATGATGATGATCGCAACGACGATGGCCGCGCCGTTTTTTGATAATCGAGGAGGAGGAGGAGGCGCAGGAGGAGGAGGAGGAGGAGGAAGAGGAGGAGGAGGAGGAGGAGGAAGAGGAGGAGCAGGAGGACGGGGAGGGGCAGGAGGAGGAGCAGGAGGAACTTCGAACTTCGAGGTCTGGAGGCCCGTTTCGGGCTCCGGCACTGATGATGGTGATGATGATGGTGATGATGATGAGGATGATGAGGAGGAGGGGGAGGGA